ATGCTACTTAATCTGAGTTGGCAATGATCAGTCTATGCATCACTATAGGAGCATATATTGGAAGAAGATGGCTTTAGAGAAAGGAAGCTGTTCTTGTGCAGTTTGTATTCAATTTAGCAACTTGAACTTCTTCCCACTTGTCTCCTTGGATCTCACCATTTCTTCTTTACATTTTACCTTTTTCTTCACAGGTACAAGACCGGCATTGGCCTTCTTGGCTTACATGAATGCAATATCTAGGAGAGAAATCTCTGCTGTAACAACCTCTATGACAAAACAAAACCCTTCAGATAAACCAAGGAGATATATTATATCTCAATGCCTGCAAAGACGTCACGTACTCCTCTGTCTCAGAGTACAACAGAAAAAGAGAAACCGAGATGGGGACTGTGATCTTGCCTTCGCCGGAGGTGTGAACACACCAGGCAGGGGACTCCTGAGGTGTGAGAAAATCTCAGCCTGGCCCGGGGCCATCACAGGCAGGGCTTCAGCAGGTGCTAAAACCACTGTGGGCGAGCTCCTGCACAGGATGTCAGCTGCACCCTGCCTGGGAGAAGGACCCAAGGACATCATAGGTGCCCAGCAGCAGCAGGGATGCAGAAACAGGGAGGTGAGGTGGCCCCCTCCTTGCCCCCTGGCCAGAAGGCAGCACCAGCCTGCTCCCACCTCATGCCCAACGGGCATCACGAAGCTTCTCCCGGGGCCACAGACCTTCCTCCAGGTCAGGGCTGTTTTCCATAAGAATAGCTTTTCACTGGGAAATTGGTTCATGTTTGGTCTTTTTTTTCAAATGAGGAAATAAGCTGCTGTTACTTTTTTTTTCCTTCCGTAGCACCACCAGGATCTCATTTAGTAATATGGGATGTTGTAAGAGCTGGAACACTACCAGCAACATCAAAGTCAGGCAATTACAGACTTATTAGAGGCATGACAGGTCTGAGAATGCTTTCATATTCCAGGCAAGAAAAGCATAGAAGTAGGTATCCCTGGCCCTTCTGGTGTCCCTTCTCATTTTTTTTACCAATTTCAAGAGTTACTGCATTTATCTTTGAAATGTGGGGCTCTGTGAGCATCTGTAAACAAGCCACCAAGCAGATGGCTTCTCCTGCTCCAGCATGCATGGTGCTGGGGAACATGCCACCGATGGCAGGTCACTATGGCCACAGCACTGACAGAGGAGCAGGTCCGTATCCTGAATTCTGTTGACACAGGGGATTTTTCTTTTGTGTCATTCAGTGTGTCACCAACATATGCAATCAGTGCCCCACACAAGGGATTTGAATCAGCTAGATGTATGGCTGTTTGCCTGCCAGGCAAGGCACTGTTTTAAACTCCCATCACCAGGTTGCTTAGAGATCCTAATTTCTATCAATGGATAATTATATTGATATTATCTCTAAAAACTAATGCATTTGATATATCATAAAGAAAATAATTTACAAGACACAGACCTGTCAAGTCTCTCTGTGCATAAATTGTAACTGCCATCCTTCATCTTCGAGACATGGGGCTGGCCCCCTGTGGCGTCACCCAACCCCACCACTGGACCTCTTTCCTTGGTGACACAGCCACGCACTCATGCCTTCAAAAGCAAGACTAAATTATTTATCAGACTCTGTGCAGGGATCCGTTGTAATCGATTACAGCGATGGGTACAACTGTACCACAAAGTGCTGTGCCTCAAAAAGCTGCTTGTCCCAACCCTGTTGTGCCTGACCCAGCATCAGTCTAACCTCTGGCATGGTGGCCAGGGCTGCTGTCACCCTTGAAACCCTGGTGCTCCAGCCCAGCATTGCTTTGCCTCACTCGTGGTTTGTCTGTGAATGCTAACGAGGTGATACACTGATTAATCAATGTGTCCAGGGCTAGGGAAGCCATTGGCAGGGGGAGGGGACCCCCAAAAAACCCGGCACCGGCCCTAATCAATGTTTCCAGGGCTAGGGAAGCCATTGGCAGGGCAAGGTCACCCCAAAATCACCTGCAGGCTGCCCACTGTGGGGCTGCCTGTTGGGAAAGGAGCGTGGGCTGGTCTGGCAGCAAACCTCGACTTGGGGTTGAATGGAGCAAGACAGATAGAGACTGCCTGGCAGCTCTGGTGAGCGGCACACGGCCATGCCCTGCCACGGTCAAGGATGCCATCATGTGGACAAAGCTTTTTATTCTCTTCCCGCTTTTCGTGTTTTTATATTAAAAGCTTTCTTCCCTCTGCTCCATTACTGCACCAGGTAGTCCACAGCTCTCCCTGACAGCTTGTTCTGGCAGGTGTGTGTTACACGAGAGCTTTGTCGGAGTAAATCCTGGGGCATCCATCTCAAAACTGGTTTAATTGGATGAAGACTATCAGGAAAAATCACTATGCAGCTCCAATGTGGGTCTTAGGGTTTTACACCCAGGGCTCACCGAACAGACCAGACCTGGACACCGTGAGGGCAGGATCATTCAGATGCACAGCTTGTTACAAACCTTATCAGTTTAATTAATTCATGGTCCATTTTACATAATGCAGGCAGATAAGCAACACCATTTATTTGCACTGAAAAACCAGTCTCCCCGAGTATTATCCCTGGAGACATATGATATTATGCATCTAAAGAACATGTTTTATGTATGTGCATTAAAATAGGTAACATGGAAAGGATGAATCCTTAAATGCAGCCAGCGGCAAATATTTGTGTGAAGGCTCATCTATTTTATCCATATTGTTTATCAAAAACAGTTCCCTGTGTTCTTGCCAAGCTCAAAGGCACTGCGAGCCTCCTTGCTTGCAAGTCCTGAGATGAAGCAACACCAGCTGTTTCTTCCACTTTTTAAGGCCAGTTTTGGGGGAAGCCACACTTCTGGTTTTATTTTGGGCCCCAGTGAAGAGGAGCCCAAGGTTGAGGACCCCATTTCTGAGTAAGGCTCCAGACCCGCGTTTTTAGGCACTTTCTGCTGAGGTCTTCAAGTCTTGTCACCAATTCCTCCATTCATCCAGGGAAGAGGATGTAGGAATTTCTCTTTCCTTCTCCTCCTTTTATGGAGGGAAGCTGGACGGCTGCTCCAGGTTGTCTTCAGAAACCTTTATTGAGGACATCTGCTAAAACAGCCATTGCTGTGCTTTTTCCGCAGAGCTCTTCTTCTCCATAGAAAGATGGGGGGCAACCATACCTTTCCCAGAGGACAGTGTTGTCCCAGACTGTTACCCCATGCTGCGTGTCCCTCTGCATGCGAGGCTGTTTTACCCCTCAGCCTCTCCTGCCGGTGCCACCAGAGTCCTCTTGTCCCAGCAGAGCTGGTTCTTCTTGAGTTTTGGCATCAGAAGCACATGCTTAGAAAATAAAGCATGAAGATATTCAACAGCATAAACAGAATTAATCATGATGTAAAAGATCTTGAAATAATTGAAAGGCTGAGGTAGACCAAAGAGAGACCTGGGGTCTGCCCCAGTTGTCTCGGTGGGATTGCAGCAAAGAGCTGGAGGTCTGAAGCTGGCCCAGCTATTTTAGAGAATAGTTTGGGATAAACTCTGCATGCTTTAAAGAGACTTCATTTGGTGATGGTCTCTCAAGGCTGCAAAGTGATGTCTACAGGATTTGGCAGTTGGCGAGGTGGACTGTGATGTCAGGGAGAGCAGAAGGTCTAATGAGATACCTCTAGCAGGTCCCTGGGGGACTACACAAGGCGAGTTAGGTAAAATAATAGGCAGCCATCTATAAGAAATGCGGACTTGTTTTATTGTTTTCTGAAGAAAAGAAGCAGTCTCTGAATTTAACATCCTCCTGTTGCCCAATTTAATTTATACCTTGGATAACAAACTGAAGTTGTTGAAGCCCTTCGCATTTTTTCATGATAATGTGTTAAATTGTGGCAAATGGGAGAGTTGTGTGATGTGTTGTAAAACACGAACGGATGTTCGTTCGGGTGGAGTCATCTATTTCTTTGATCCTGAAAGCAAGCTAGGATTTGGTGGGAATCCAGACCTTTCTACACAAAGAGTAGCTGCGCACCCACCACACCTCCTCCTTTCCTTGTCCACAAAAGAGGCGAGCATTATACGCAGTGTTGTGCAAAAGGGGCTCCCTGGGCTGATGTTGGGTGGGCTGGGTTCAGGTGTATCTCACTGGTGTGGGTAAGGGAACTAAGTTGTTCTCTCGGCTCGATGGGAAAAGTGTCATGGGTGAAAGAGCCCAACAGCACCATGGGAATTATTAAGGTGCTCTTAGACAACAGAGTGAAAGATTTGATAAAAAAATGGTCTTTGGATTTGATTGAGCTGGTGCAGTTTTCGGCGTGCTCCAGGGACTAAGTCCGTGGCAGAAGAGAAAGCAGATGCTGTAGGTGCAGGACAGGAGTCTTCGGTCAGAGCAGCTGAGCCCTCACCAACACCACACTGCTGATTTGGCTCAGGAAAGTAGGAGACTTTCAGGTCTTCTTGGCAACACTTTTGAAATAAGAAAGAAGGAGGTTTAAGAAGTACTGCAGAAAACAGCAAAGACTGCCAAGAATAATGAGTATTTAACTGCTAAAAAAGTTTCTTTAATCAGATATTTTTAATGCTGCTCCTTTATGCAACCCTAGGTTCATGAAAAGTGAAACTGTGAGTTGATAGTCAAGACACTTTGAAAGGGCTTAATTTCAGGTCTTTGTGGATGGATCAAGGGAGGAAAGGATACTGTGCAGGGACTTTAGTGAGAATGATATTTCAAAATTTATAAAATGTTAGAAAATATTCTCCTTTCAAATTTTCTTTTCTGATTCATACTAACCGAATCAAAACAATCAGAACAGATTGCAGTGTAATTCCAGGAGAGCTGGAATGAAACCAAAATCCATCAGCACATCTATTGTCTGCTCCAAATCCCACAGACCCAAATTTGAAAAGTGTTTGACTGTTCAAATGTAGGTACCCATGTAAGTTATCTGACTTTCAGAGGATCTATACAGTTGCAACTCCATTTGATTCAAAGATTAATTCTCTAATTTTAATAAAGCTAGAGGGTCTTTATGCGCTGACCTGGAAGTTAAGGATTGGCCTCAGTTTGGTCTCTTTTCATTGCTTTGAGGGAAAGTTCATAGCCAAGAAACATGGCTGAACTTGTTGGGAATCCTCGCACTGCATTGACCGTGATGCCCCTAAAAAAGACCTGTTGGGGATGGAGAAAGGTTAGAGCATAGGAATATACTGGCTATTTTAAGAAGAAGAAGAAAACATTGAATGAAGTCATGGTGGGATTCTGAGGAGCCAAATCTTGGTTTGCTCAGAAGATACGCTCTCACTGCCAGTCTTTGCTGAAGTCTGCGCTGGAGAATGGAAACGCAATGGCAAAAGTCACTGGTTTGGTATCATTGTGCTCCATGCTCCCTATGGATCCCCATCTGCATCTTCCAGCAAGAGCTACAAGAGGTAAAGGGAAAAAAAAATGGCCTCATGCCAGTGGTGTAGAGCAGAAAGCAAGAAACCTAAAACGTGTTGTAGGACAGTGTTGTCCTACCTGGCTACAGTCCCTCCTTCCCTTTGCATACATAAGCGTGTGAGGATCATGCAAGCCCCAGGGTACAAGAAGGCAGCTGTTGCTTTCATGCAGCAAATGCTTTGACTCTCAGGGCTGGGTCTATGGGCGCAGAAGACGTTTGGGAAGCGGAGAGGGAGCAGTGTGGCTCCGAGCCAGCCCAGCCGATGCGGGCACTGTGCCACACGAACTATTTTGCAGGTTTCACCTTTGAGCATAGAAAGAATTTCTCAATCAACAGAAAACTAGACTTACTCTGTACCTTGCTGAGAACTAGCTCTCACCACCAGCTTTGGGAAGAATATTCAATAGAAGCTGATGTTTTCACATGCAGGTTCCTAAGGTCAAGCTTTGGTGTCCATACATATCCCAGCGTTTTCCTTCATTAAGTTAATAAATATCCACAGCCAGCCTTCCTCATTCTGTTCAACATATATTTTTGAAAAGATGCTGGCACTTACAAGAGTGCAAGACCCTGCGGTTTTTAAGTGCTTGAACAGTAAAGTGCTTTCTGGAAAGTGGAGAGGGGCCCTTGTCGCTCCTCGCTCCTGGCGTTGGCTTGTCTCCCTTTGAACCACCCTCCCTCCCCACAACACTCTTGCCTGGTATGTGCAAGGGTGTGCACAAACCACTCACACTGGGGTGAGCCTATTTACAACATGATGGTTGCAGGGAGTATCTCTGCTGGCTTGTTTCTCACAAAATCACTCTGTGAACAACCCAGGCTAATCACTGTGGTCACTAATCCAAACACTAGAAGTTCAGATTAGACATGAAAAGTAACATCAGCAAAGCAAGCCCCCTTCCAGGCTTTACAAAGCCAAAGGTCCCATGGCTGCTGTGAGAAAGCGTGGAAGATCTCGGCTCCAAGACCAGAAGCCCACAGATTTAAGTGTCTGCCCAGTATTTCCCCTGAAGTACTGAGCTCTGCTAAACACCACCATATCTTGTATCCAATAAATCCAGTGCATGGTGCTGACTTGTATGAGAGAGAATCAAAATATGTTCCCATAGTTTAGAATGGAGTTTGCAACATGAAATTGCAATATTGGGATATTTAGGATCTTACTTGATTTATTGGGATGTTTTATTTTGTTAGGAAAGATAGAATTTTCTGGGAGGAAAGTCAAGTTTTTACAGTATCCATACAGTAACACAAGAGAGCCAAGTTAAATAATAATGAAGATTTATGAAGAAAAGCCCAGAGGCGTAAATTTTTCTCATCAGAATGCACACACCTGACTATGGAGAAAGAAGAGGGCTATATTTACATTTTTTTGTGTACATCAAGCAATTAGTTTCAGCACTGTGAATGCTGTTCCTTTTTCCCAGAATGAAAACATCCAGACCTGGGTTTGCCATTTGTCAGTTGTGTCTTCCAACATATAAGAAAATTGTCCTTACGAGAGAAGAATCCAGTCTTATCATCAACTATTACTTAATCCTATTGCCAGCTTTGGTCCGGGTGCTAGGTGTGATAGCAGAAAAACTGCAAGCAGGTCAGACCTCAAGCAAAAAAAACTAAGTGCCTGAATTAGTTGTTCATATTCAGGCAGGACATGGAAAGGTAGGGGGTGAGGATGGAGAGAGAAGGGAAAACACATGGAAATTTCATTTTCAGCCACCCCCTGTGTTCCTGTGAAACTGCACGCCGAGCTGAACACGCAGGGCAAGCAGCCTGCGTAGAGCCTGATGCACCCTGACCCTCTTCTGACCATCTGAGCATGGTCTTTAGCATCTCTCCAGGTGCCTGTCCTTCATCTGAATGTGACTTTCTTCACTCAGCAGCAAAACCCGAACCAGACTGCAGGCTCCTGTGACGGCTGGCATAACATGGTGGCATGTTAGCAAATATTTAAATCACGCAGACTTGTGATTTTGCAGGTTATTTTTGGGTTTGTAACTTGTTACTTTTGCCTCAGAATGTGAAAATTAACACTTTGGAGCTAAGAGCCCACATGATATGTTGATGACAACTTCAATACAGATGTATTTCAATACCAGAAGATGTCGCTTCTCGTAACCATGCATTGGCAATGCAATAAAACTGCAAACCCTGGTTCTCTGCCATTCACATTTAACTGAGGCAAAGTTTGCAGGTAGAACAAACATCTTTTATTACACTAATAGACAACGTCAGGAAAAGGAGATAAGGTTTTTTTGGCACGCAGTCCTTTTCCACATTTGAAACCAAAGCAATTCTGATTTAAGAACATTTTCAATCATCTGCTCTATCTTGGTGCAAAATGAGGGTGGGCAGTGCAAACTGCAGCATCAGTTCCACCAAAGCATTGCCCAAGGCATCCAAACGCATCCAGGGTGCCAGCGCGGTCCCACTGGAATCAGTTCCCATTGACTTCCGTGCCAATGGGAAATGTTTGACTTCTGCATTTTGTAAAAGCAATCACAGAGGCAAGATTTTTGACCTCTGATTTATGATAAGTCAAATCATATTCATAATTAAATGCACTGACATGAAGTGTTACTTTAAATTAATTACACCAGCAGACTATGACCCCAAGTCATTCACTTTTTCATTGCTGTAAGGCGCATTATTACTCTCGCTATTATGATTTAGGAATAATCTGCACTGTTATTACCTACTGTCATTATTATAATTTAGCAGTAACTGGCTTTAGCTGTCTCTCAACCCTGCAGATAGGTTTGTAACAGCCATTGTATTTTCCAATTGAAAATTAAATGCCTAATATCCAGATTATACTTCACATATCACTTACTTTTAAGCCCTCGTTCTGGTAGCTCTGCAAGATACAGTCAAGGGTCCCTTTGTACTTGTTTAAATAAACTCCATCTGCCTGAAGTCGACTTTTCACAACATCCATTGGAGTAGCAGTCCCCCAGGAAATGGCTCCTAGAAAAATGCAGAAGTATTTGAACAATTTCTTCTCTGTGTTTCCTTGGCCGCAGGTCAATGAACTCAGAGATTCACCTCTCATCTACCACATCATATTCATGGGATTTTCATTTCAGGGCATTCACCCTGCTCAGGCACAGGAACGGTTATTTCTGGGAGCAGAGTTCCCTGTTTCTGGAAGAAGCATTGAGATTTTGGGGGTTACGCTGGTAATCAAATGCAGGTGGCCCAGGACATGCTCCCCCAGGTGCAAACAGATCTTCTGTGGTGGTTCTGGTGGAGCATGGACATGCCGTGGGAAGAGCCCGAGCTGCAGGGAGCTGCTGCTTGGGGCGATTTCAGAAAAACTGGAGTCCTCAGATAATACTGTTGAAAAGCAAAGTTTGAGCTGAGAATGCAAATAAGAGGCAGGTCCATCTCATGCAACCAAGATTAGGTTCCATGCAGCTGAGTGACATCGTCATTCCTATAAAGAAACTGTCTATTTACATTGATCAGCCTGCAGCTGACTGGGACGTTTTGCCTCTCGGAAAAGGTCAGCGTGCGACAACAATACATGGCCCAGTTGGACAGACAAGAGTTTGCTTGGACTTAGGTGGATGATGGGGCGTACAAGAGAAGCTGTCCAGATGGGCCAGGGCTCTGTTTATTTGCAGGAGAAACGGAGAGGGCATTTTGTAATCATTACCTGAGCTAAGGATCAACTTGCATTTAGGGGTCTGCAATTTAGAAATGGCCAAGAAATGAGGAGTGGGTGTAGAGGTGACCTTACACATGTAAGCATGGAGGGGGATGCACATGCCAGTCTTACTTTTTCCTTACACAGGGAAAAAAAAAAAAAAAAAATCAGTAACAGTCAACTCTGGTTCTGCTGCCTGAGGGTAGGGTGCACACCCTCCTGGTGGGCAGCCAACAGGTTGAAGTCCTCTTCTGGAGGCATCTTGGCTGCCGTGCATCACTGGCAATGTGATCTGCAGGCTGCCCTGAGACACCCAGGGAGATGAAGGTACTGGCTGTTTTCCTTCTCGCTGACATTAAGCCTGATGAAGATCTGATAACACGACTTCCATAAACTTTGTCAAGTCATAAAGTGCAGCTGTGGTGCCAGGGGATCTGGCCCTTGGGGAGAAAAGTCGTTCAGCCCCATGTCCTCTCCTGGTGACCAGGAGGATGCGGTGGCCCCTGAGCCATCCCCGTAATCTGCCCTGGGAACCTTCCTGTCCTGGTTTTGCCAGTGCTGTGGGAAAAAAAGATGCTTACCTGCTACACCCCCTGCCAGCCAGATGGAGGAGGGATTAGGGGAAATGCATCCATCAGGGGTAATCCGGCCACAGAAAAATGTGTAAGGGATGAAATAGAGGCAGTATCCAGGAACATCCCTCAGAAGCATTGCTCCCGCGCCTCGGTATATTCCTGCTATCCCCTCTTTCTGTAGGACTGTCCTAAAGCAGTGAATTGGGCCTCGGTACACAGGAAATCCAGGAACTGTGGGCTTCAGCTTAATGTTTGCTGCAAAAAAAAGATACAAACATTATAAGAGATATATTGCTACAGAACTCATCTCAAAAGCCCACTGCCATCAAACAGAAATCTCTGCCATCCATTTTCTTTTGCGGGGATCAATATGTAGCATGGGAAAAAAGGTTTTAAGAAAGAGGACTTAGGTCCATTTTTAAAAGATGCTTAGACACTTCGGAGCAGATTTTTCTTAGATGCATTGCATGCCTCCCAATAGCTACGTGCCTAGTGAGATTTCCAAATGAGTTTAAGACTATGTGCCTAATTTTCATGGATTTTAACCATATCTGGTGCCAAGTTGCATCTCTGAAAGCCTTGACATCTTCAGATTCTGGCCCTTCCCATGTAGACCAAGTTGCTTTTGGAAAGGGCATTAGGTTGCTAAGCTGCATGGAGGCTTTTAGAAATGGATGTAATATTATTTCATCAGAGCGATACAAAAATGTCAGTATTTCACAGTTAAACACCACAACTGTAGTCATGAGAAAGGTGTTGAACTGCTGAAACCCAAGCTGTTCAGCTCGGAAGCTGCACCATCCCTTCCTTCAGCTGTGCATGTGCTCCAGTGGGCTTTGCTCCATGCTGGCAGCCTGCGATGAAATACAAGCTGTCGTCTTGAGCAGAAGCAGCTCCTTCTGCCTGCAGCTCCTGGAGAGGTTACAGCTGCCCACTGCCATCCCACCGGTGTCCTCTCCTGACCTGCCTTGCCTACACCTGGGTTACCTGTAACCCTACTGTGAATAATCCAGCGGTTTCCAGATGTACATGTGACATTTTTGCTTTTGAACAGAGAAGGGTGGAATGAGAGAGAGGGGTTTTTGAGTGAATATATGCGGGACTGAGAGTGTGCAGCAGCGAGATGGGGAGCTGGCATTACCGCTGGCAATGTGGTGCTGCTGGTGGGATCTGCAGGGGATGGGACAGCCCAGGGACCCGCTGTTCCTGCCCCACGGCCACGTGGGGAAGGTGGCTCCCGCAGCTCCTGGTCCTGAGCAGACCGCCCCCTGTGTCCATTATAGATCCCAATCAGCTGGAAATACCAGCAGAGATCCGATCAATGGCATTGATAAAAACCCTCCCCTTGAGCTGAGCAGGATAGGGTCCATCCTGAGGCAGAAAGAAGCATTTTTAGCTCGATTGCGGTGGCACAAGGTGGCAGAGAGCTGGGCTTTGAAGCAAAGTTGTCCTAAAGCTCTCAGTAAACACCGAGGACTGGTAGAGAAAGGAAGGAGAAACTCTTGCTTCCTACCTTGGATGTACGGCTGTGTTTGCATCTGTAGTCTTATCTTTACCAGGTCTACAGGAGTGCCGATGCCCACGGAGACAAACCCTGCCACCACGCTGGCGAGAGCCACGTCGGTGAGTGCCGGCGCGCGGGCCGGGTCTCCGTGGCGGAGCTGGCTGAGGAGCCGTTGTGTGTTGCTGAAGACACCGAACACCACGGAGCTGTAGACGGCGATGCTGGCTAGTGGGAAGGACATGCCTTTGAAGAAGCCAGCCACCTACCCAGGGAAGGGAGCAGGAGTTAGGAGAGTGAACGGGACTGAGCAGCATAAACCCCAACTTGTCTGTCAGGCCAGAAATGCAAATCCAAGCAGCAGATGTCTCCTGGAAGCAACCGTTTGCACATGCTGAGCAAATTAACATTAATTCATACTGCTGAAGACTTGTAAAGATTGTGCAGAATACAGGATATGCTGACAGCACAGGAACCCACGTAAAGGTCCCTCTTATGGACAGCTCCTGTCCTGGCATCACCAAAGTCACCAAAATACCTCCGGTAGAGTTTTGCCAGCAGGTACAGGCAAAAGACCCACTGTGGATGTAACACCCTGACCCATGCGGAGACCTTTATCACTCCATGCCAGGGATCTGTCTTTTCCCTGTAGGAGTAACCAAGAGAGTTACCTTAGAGTTAAGCAAGAGAAGGCTGTAGGGATTTGCAAACTCAATTGCACCAACTTCATTGGTCTTCATATAACTGCTGGTGTCAACAGTGATTTTGTATAATTGCTCTATGTATGTATCTATTTATGTATTTGCATTTTCTACCAGCACATTTTAAGTAAGATAAAGTACTTACAGACTCATTTCTGTACACAGTGAGAACACAGTTGAGTGTATTTCCATATCCTTGTCCAGCTTGCAAACGAGTCTGCAAAAGACATTCATAAAACGTGATTAAAATCCCATGCTTCCAGCCCAATGAAAGTTCATGCTACGTAAGCAATGTGTACTTTGCTTTGAGAGCAAATCCTTCCTTAGTTGTACAGAAAACAGAGCAATAAAATAAGATATATGCGCATCCACCCCCCTTGAACTTTGCCAGAAGCGAGGCTAAACGGGACCTCAGAGGTCTGAAGCTTTCTGCAACATCTGGAATTGATGACTGTCAAATTGTTCTCGGGTCCAGACCAGCTACCCTGGCCCAGCACAGCATCAGAGCAGACTGCTGGTGTGCAGTGCTGTCATTGGCAAGGTCCTGATTTATGTGGAAGTTGGAGAGTGATGTGATCTCCTCTGTTTGGGGACTCTCAGTGGAGGCTGGGATGTGTTGCTGAAAGATGGAGAGAAGAGCTCGCCCGGGAGGCTTCTGGGGCCCTTCGGATCCAAGGTGGATTTTAAGATATAGAAATACTAAATGGAGCCAAAGTAATTCAGCTCTGTCTTAGAAATTCGCCATGCTTCACTCAAAAATACATTTTTACATCATTTCCAACAACGACATTTTGTTTCTGGGAAGCAATGGTTATATGCCTTCCAAAAAAAGCCTACAACAGCTGTAAGAAATGGCATGTAAGTCACGACAAAGCCTGTATGATTCAACATATGTTCCCCTTCTCACATATATATATATATACACCCACACATATATTTAGATAATCTTTCATTCAAGCTGTTCACAAGTTTGCACTAAAAACATCCTAACAAGGGATGCATTTTTTGGGATTAGAGGTGTGCGAGGAAATGGAAACACTGTTCGCTTTGCAGGACCTGGGTCTTCAGCAGCTAACCTTGGCTGAGGGCAGAGCTCATTTTTTATAGACAGTCACACATGCTCTATCGAGGATGTTTTTAGGGAATGGGGATAGCATTTCTGGTCATATCCATCACTGTTGCTGCTAGCAGGAA